CCTCGGAGCCATTGGGGAGCCTGTGACTTAAGACAGCTCCTATCCCAAAAGGGGATGCGTCTGCGGCTAGGACCAAAGGAAGGCGTTGGTCAAATTGTATTAAGACAGCCTCAGAGGTGAGTAGAGATTTGACTGCCACAAATGCTTGGTTTTCTTTGGGTCCCCAGTGCCATGGTGTGTTTCTGTCTAAGAGTCTGTGCAATGGCTCAGCAACTGACGCCTTGTGTGGGAGAAATGAAGCGTAGAAGTTCAATAACCCCAGGAAGGCTTGTAACTCGGTTTTGTTGGTAGGCGTGGGCGCCTCGTGGATGGCCTTGACTTTCGATTCCACCGGGTGGATGCCTGAGGCGTCTAGCCTGTAGCCTAGAAAGTCCACCTGTCTAGTGGCGATGGTACACTTCTCCCGTTTTAGTTTGAGGCCATGCTGCCTGAACTTCTCTAATACTGCCCTGACTCTCTGGATGAGTTGGGGTCTGTCCCTGGCTGTGACTAAGATGTCATCGAAATATGGCACTACGCCGGGGAGACCTTGGAGGATTCACTCCATCAGTGATTGGAAAATACCTGGGGCTACACTTACGCCAAACTGGAGATGCTTACATCTGAATGCCCCTCTGTGTGTAACTATGGTCTGTAAGTCAGCTGTTTGGTTATCCACGGGGAACTGTTGGTATGCCTGTGACATGTCCAGTTTGGCGAAAATGGTGCCAGGTTCGAATGTGTGTAACAGGTGCTGAATGACTGGGACTGGATATGCGCTAACCTGTAGATAACGGTTGATTGACGTCTTGTAGTCAGCACAAATTCTTAGATTACCGTCTTTTTTTAGCGGGGTGACTATTGGGGTCTCCCACTTAGCGAAATCTGTGGGTTCTATCACCCCTTGTTTTAGTAGTTTGTCTAGTTCCGCATCCAATTTGGGGCGGATGGCGAAAGGTACTCTACGTGGTTTTAAGCGAACGGGGACTGCCTGTGGGTCTACTGAGAAGGAGATGGGAGTGCCCTTATAGCAGCCTAACTCACTACTAAAAACGTCAGAGTAGTCTGTAAATAAGGAGTCAACATCAGAAGTTGAGACAGCATGGACTCCTTTTATACTAAGGCCGAGAGAGGGGAACCAATCCAACCCCAAAAGACTAGGGAGGGCACCATTAACAACCACTAAAGGCAAATGGCCTTTAAAGGTTTGGAATTTCACGAGAAACTTGCCTTTCCCGAGGACGGGAATGTTCTTTCCTTGGTAGTCTCTCAAGGTGAGATGGCACTTTTGAAGCTGGTTCTTTGTCAGTCTGGGCTGGATCTTCTTAAGCGTGTCCCAAGATATGATTGAGAGCGCTGACCCCGTGTCTACCTCCATGCGGCAGGGATTACCTTCTAGTAAGACAGAAAGTGTAATTTTATTGGGGGTGTAAAGTGTGTGGTTGGCTTGGTAACAAGTATGGCATTTTTCTACTTGCCTTCGGGGAACAGGAGAGGAAAGAGATCTTTGTGGAGAGGTGCGCGCTGCCTGGCAGACTCTTGCGAGGTGACCTTTCTTGTGGCAGTTGTGGCAGGTGGCGTTTCTGAACCTGCAAGATGCCCGGGAATGGGAACCTCCACAGGTCAGGCATAAAAGAGTTTGTTTTGGGCCACTGTTGTTTCTTGGCCTCGCTCCTACCTGCGGCTGTCTCGTTGGTTTGAGGCGATGCACATCAGAGTATTCTGCAGGGTCATCCTCACTAACCGCTTCTTCAGAGTGTACGGAGGAAGTGCTGGGTCTGGGAGCGGTGCCCTGGATCTCAGCTGCGGACTGTGCTGCAAGTTCTGCAGCTAAGGCTTCTTCAACTGCCTGGGGGAGGTTGAGGTCTCTTCTAGCCAGCAAACGCCTCTGGAGTTTTAGATCCCTCACCCCACAGACGAGTTGGTCGAGCAGCATGTCGTCCAAATAGTTTTTGAACTCACATTGTAGAGCTGCTGTCCTCAGGGCTGCCATATATTGATTTATGGATTCCCCCTCGGCTTGCTTCCTCATCCTAAAGGCGAAGCACCTAGCAATCTGAGACGGTTTTGGTGAGTAGTGGTTGGATAGCGTTTCCACCAACTCTGCCCATGGGACATTCCCGATTTCTCGTGGGGCCAGGAGTGCTGTGGCGGTGTCGTATACTACAGCCCCACAGTAGCTGAGGAAGTAGGATTTCTTCCTCTGCTCCGAAGCTTCAGCCAGTCCAATGGCATCGATAAAGTGGTTGAAGCGATTCTTATACGAATCCCACTTTTCCTCATCAGGTTTGAAAGGGGGGAATACTGAATTGACATTCATTTTGGACCCCTCAGTCTCTTTGTAGACTGGTCTACCTCACTGGGAGCTCGTTGTCTTGGATTGATGCTGCTTGAGGGCGTTGGCGGCTGTGGCTACAGTGCCCTATTCTCACTCAAGGACTTCGGCTTTTCTGAGGCGCTTGAATTTTCGTGCTCTTTTGCGAGCGTTAGGCGGCTGTGGCTGTGGTGCTTTACTGACAGCGCTTTAAAATTCGAGCCCTTTTTCTTATTATAATAATAATTATTATTATTATTATTATTATTATTATTTTTTGGCGAGGCGGCTGAGGCGCTCGCAATTTCACTTGGAGACTTCACTTAGTGACAGCTACTGTAATTAGTGCCCTTTTGTGATCGAGGCGGCTGAGGCTCTCAGCGCCGTAGCTTGCTCTAGAGGCTGCAGTTCAGTGACAGCCGTTAGAATTTTCGCGCCCTTTTTTTTTTCCGCGCGCGCGGGCGGCTGCAGCTTCAGCGCCCGACTTTCACTATCCGTGGTGCTCTAACCGTCGCGACTTTCACTGACAGCGCCCGGCCTTCTCTAACCGCGGCAGATCTAACCTGAGCGGCTCTAACACTTTCACTTCGCGATGACAGGCTGCTGAGTCCGAGGCTCAGTAAGCAAACGGCAAGCGGCTGCGGCTTCCGATGACAGGCTTCTGAGTCCGAGGCTCGGTAAGCAAAACGGCAAGCGGCTGCGGCTTCCGATGACAGGCTCCTGTTCCTTGGGAAAATGCTCCTGGCTAGCCTTCACATCCCACCTTCGTCGCCAGTGTTGTATTTCGAAAGGAAGGAGAGGCGTAGACCAGGGCATGCAATTAACAAGTTTATTGAAGGAACAGTGGTTGTCTCGTCTGCCAGCCAACGGGCAGACTAGCTAGCGAACAATGGCTGGCTTGGCTTGACAGCCGGCTTTATATAGCCGGCTGTCAAACGGCGCCAGCCAATAGGAACGGTTGTTGAACCTACTTAAAGAACGGACCCGGTTGGAGCCCCAACCGGTTCCCAAGACATAACAGTTTCATTTAGCAACAAAAAGCTTGGGCTCAATTGTGGTCATAAGTCGAGGGCTACCTGTACTTGGAAGAGCTAAATTCTCATAGGACAATCTGTAAAAGCAGCAAAAAAAAATTAAAAATCCAGCACCTTCAATTTGGTTGGGATCTGGAAAGATTGAATAGATTGATTGTTCAGAATATGCCTCAAAATTTTTGCAGTATGTCACTTTTTCACAATGTTGCTGCCAAAATCCTCAGCACACATGTTCTGTGCCCTCTGCCAAAGCAACCCCTATTTTTGTCCTCTTAAGAGCAGAATAATTCCTGCCTCATCCTACTACCTTTAAAAATGTATTATTTACTTTGTTCGAGGAGCCAAAGGCCACCATTGTTAATAGTATAGCTACTAGAACAATATTACAAGTTTAACAGAATTGGGAGGAAGGAAGATGCTATAGCACTCATTAAAAACCCTTTCCCTCTTTGCCCTATTTAAAGCCTCAGTGACCTATATGTCTCTGATCAATAAAGTATATGGTGCAGTGAAAACATAAGCTGCATGAAGCACTAGATAAGGGAGCTAGGCTGTAACACTGGCATATTCTATAAAGTAGGACTGGACAAAACATATTTGGAAAAATATGACATAAATCATTAGGCTTTTTGGTTGAATGTAGTCTTGTGCTAAACATGTTAAAATATGCATATCTCACATGATGTTTGCACTCTAGAAATCTCCATTCAAAAGGGAATATATAAAAGAACCATTAATCTTCATTGCTTTAGTGTACCTGGGAATATACTATTGAATTCAGTAGACCTAATTCTAAACTTCTAGCATATCTTTATTTATTTAGAACATCCTCTGAAATTGTACTATTAATACACAATTGCATAAATCTGGCTGGCTTCTATTTTAAAGCACTCAGTCTTATGATACTGATTTCGAATAACCCTTTCATTAATACATTGGAATATATTTTCTTTTACTGAAAAACACTGGTATAACATTATGTCAGGAGTGGGCAAGATGGATCAGTACCTTTAACTACTTTCTTTGATTTCTGTTCACCTCATTTCTTTTAAAGATTCTTTTAGCAAACAAAAAAAAAACGGGGAGGGAGAGGAGATTCTGATAACCTACACCAAAGTATAGCCTCTAGCGTTGCATTTATTTGCAGCAATGCCTTTGAATCCCACAAAGATCCCACTGAAATGATAAACCATTCTGGGTGTCTAGTCTGCTTTTAGAGAAATGGGAATTTAATGATCAACCAAACTCACTACGGCAGTGTTTTTAATTAATAAGCAAATATAATAAATTAAAACTCTACGCTGGCTCGTTAATTAATGTATTTATTTTTTTTTTGCTTGTGTATTACTCTCTTGTAAATCTTTTTGTAACCTTAATCCCGTGGCATCTGAAATCCGATCTAGATTCAGCCTCTTATGTTAATGTAATTTGCAGCTCGGTCCTCTGCTGTTTTGCTAAGAATTATGCTTACGTGGAAACATTATTAGGAACCAATACTTAAAAGCACAAAAATGCAGTCCCCCTCGTAAGCATTTCTACTGAGCCAAACATTTAATGGTTCTGAGCGAAAGTGTAAATATTCCTAAGCAAATAAGTAATACTCGTTGACCCCAATAACATCCCCACCCCGGAACAATATTTTCACGGAACGCCAGTGACAGGAAGCCGATTCCAGCGGGCTTCGTTATTGAAGCGACCGCTACACCTAAAGATGGCGGCACACTCGCTGTGCTGCTTTCGGCGAATGCCGGAGCCGTGGCTACTTTTCTGGGAGACATCTAGGAAAATTCCGCTTCGAGGTTTAGCTTCTGGTCGTCCGGCCTTCGGTTCCCAATTCCGAAGTGCATACAGTTTGGACCAACTCTATCAGCCACAGGAAAAGGAAGCCGACACCGCAAAGGTTGGGTTTCGGAAGTCCGAAGGGAAATGTTTATTTAACAGTCCAACATATTTGAGAGCTCCAGGTTGGCAGCAATTAACTTAGAATATAATCTGATCGTGTATGCATTGCTCTGGAATTTGGTGAGAGGAGCAAACATAGTAAATAAAAAATAGGAGAAATAAAATAATACATGTGGCTTAGGACTCTGGTGCTTATATGTATTCCATACAGGCTCTGCATGTGGTCTTATTTCAAATGTACTACTTTTGTATTACTTCTGTTTTAATAGGACGAATTTGTTACAAAATACTTGCAACTGTAATAATTTGAGGTACTCGACATATGCATTTCTGTGTTCCAGGATTTGGCAAGCCAGACAATTCCAGAGATTCCTGTGGGTGAGTCCAGAACATAAGCAAAATGCCTTGACTTTCCTAGAGAGATTTCCTTAATGTATTTTATCTATGTTTTATCTGCTTTATAGATAAGTGTAAATTTAGTCCCAAAAAATACCATTCAACTTAATGGAATTTATTTTTGATTACCAGTAAATGTATATTGGCATATACTGAAAATCAGAATATTTTTTTAGAAAGCATAGAAGGGTCAATGTTATTGCACAGAAGGGTCAATGCCTTGACTTGCCATGTGTGAGTAGATAGCAATATATTTTTTAAATAAATAATATAAAGATGAAACAACTTGACTCTACCCACAATGGAGGAATGGATGGTGATAATAAAATTGATGATGATGATAATAATGATGATGTTGGAATTTGCTGAGATGGCTAAATTTACTTATTTGATCAGAGAAAAGACATGTTTATTGCTGGCTGGAAACCCCTAATGGACTTTCTTACTTTTACACTTGAACTCTTTTCTTTTTTTTTCTATTTCTTTTATTTAATCTATATTCATTTATGTTAGTTTTTAATCTTTCAAAAATTCTTAATAAAATTATTTTTTAAAAAACAGTAACAAAAAAAATCCTTTAGTAAAAGAAGAACTATTTTTAATTGTGATATTCCTAAAATGGCTTTAGGGGCAATATTGTATTTTAAGAGACTCTATTCTTAATAGTTTTTTCCACGTGCTAATACAGGAACTCCTCAACTTACAACAGTTCACTTAGTGACTGTTCAAAATTACAAGTGACTTATGACCATTTTTCACACTTATGACTGTTATAGCATCCCCATGGTCACACAATTTACATTCAGGTGTAAATAAGCAAAATGCCTTGACTTTCCTTTGATTCACATTTATGATGGTTGCAGTATCCTAGGGTCATGTGGTCACCTTTTGCAACCTTCCAACAAGCAAAGTCAATGGGTAAACAAGATTCACTTAACAACTGTTACTAATTTAACAATTGCAGTGGTTCACTTAACAAATGTAGCAAGAAAAGTTGTAAAATGGGGCAAAACTGATTTAACAAATTTCTCATTTAGCAACATAAATTTTGGACTCAGATGTAGGCATAAATTGAAGATTACCTGTATTTGTTAACTCATTCTATTTCTACATTCTACTTAGAGCATAAATGGATATCTTTTCAATCCTTTTTTATGCTTTCATTTTTTGGATTTCCAGATCGTTTGTCTGTTTCCTATTCACGGAGCAGTGGCCCAGGAGGCCAGAATGTGAATAAAGGTAAAAAAAAAAGAAAGTCTGACTACATATGCATGTATTACTTGAGAACAAATCCCATTGACATTAATGAGACTTCCTATAATAAATTAAGGTATGGGTTTTGGAGTTGGGCAGCCTAGAAATTTGACAAATAAAATCAAGTGTTCATGAGCAGCACACTTATCAATAAATTGGGAGGAAAAGGTAGGCCCTTCCAAGCTGCATAACTCTTTACCCTGCAGAGTAGTTATTTATTTCTTCTTTTCACACCCAGTGAATTCAAAAGCGGAAGTCCGATTCCATTTGGCATCAGCAGACTGGATCTCCGAAGAAGTGCGACAAAAAATGGCAGTGCTGGTAATTCTCAAAATTTATTTTCCCTTTTTGAGATAGATTTGTTAAAGTAGCATACACTTAGTTTACCAAGTTCCTGTAAAAAATATGGCACAAGATTTCCTACACAAAAAATATAGACCATCCAGAGGGACCCATTTAGGTTGTGTAACAAAATATAAGTCTATAAATATATAACATCAGAAGATGGATCTTAAAAATTGCTTTATACCACTATGAGATTTAAATTATTTTTTTTACAAGAACTCTGACATAATAAATAAAAGCCTGGTAAAAGACATGATGCTAGGGACCACTGAAAATAGGAGTCATTTACTAGGCCAATGGCTGATAATTCAGTCATATTCTTTATATGATTGTTTATTAGAAACATTTTACTTATTTCTTTAGTTCAAAAACTCAAGATTATGTAAAAATATGAGGTTATATGCAAAATTGTATTACATCTATTTCCTTTATCTCAAAGAATGAGTGGCTTCCTACAATTTAGCAGACAGGTCATCCCAATATCAGCTGCTTTAAGTGGTTTCAGGTACTGGGGCAAAAGATTTCTAAATAAGAAGGTCTAATCCCCAGTTTTCAAACGAGATGAATTATTTGTTACTAAGACAAAAATATATTTTGTCCACAAATATAGGAGTGCTTGATTTCATACTTTACTTTAACCCTTAATATGGTTTGCTTGATTTTGGCTTAGTGGGATCATAAAATCTTCATTATTGTGTAACATTATATAATTTTAACCACTACAGTTTACATGGTGACTTTAAAAATCATATTTTGATAATAGAAATCTGTTTTATTTTCCAGAGAATAGAAAATTATATAAATATGCTCCCTCTTTGAAGGAGATAGAGGTTTGGGAATGTGCAAAATAAATGCAATAAATAATAAAATGTTTTATTTCCCAGCAAAAACAGAAGATCAATAAATTGGGAGAGCTAATAATCACTTCTGAAGTGAGTCGCTATCAGATGAGGAATTTGGCAGAATGCTTACAAAAGATCAGGAACATGATTGCAGAATCCACTGTGAATCCTCATGTTATATCTGAAGAAACTGCTGAGATGATCAGAAAAAGGTAAATCTGAGACAAAACTAACAGGTGACTTAATTAGAATTCCTTTGGACACAACATGATGTATATACACCAGAATTCTCAGTTGATGCTCCCTTAGGCCAAGATGGAGCCATTTGTAATTAAGACAAGAACTACTACTCTCTCATTATTTAGTATAATTATCACATTAAACATTTTAAGAAAAGATTTGTGGTGTCACTGAGTACTTATAGTTTAATATATCATAATAAATAAGAGTCTAGTTTTTCACTTTTCTTAATTTCAGTTAGAGAAGCAAAGACAACATTTGTTAATTTTGGATGGCACATCATGGATTAACACGAACATTCTACCTTTAAAACGCTGATTAACATATATAGATATTGTTAAAACAAGCAAGTCTGCCAATTATATTCAGATTGTATAAATGTGATATTGTCCACACATCAAAATAAGCCATAAAGTGATTTGCCTTGTTTTAACTAAATATAAAAGTGAAATATGAAACAAAATATGAAAGCTTTTTTCATTTTGTAAACTTTTATATGTTAGCCTTATATGTGGGCCACATCCTGATAGCTTGTTCAACAAATGTGCCTTAACAGCTAGTTTTAGTATACTGACATAAACAACCCCGTTCATGAATAATCTCTATTTTCGATCTTGAGAAAAGAACACATACACAATTTCTGATAGAAATGAGAGATGTTTCTCCGAAAATCTTTTTTGGAAAGCTAGCCACAGTTAAAAGCTTTTTTGCATTTAAGATGATTTAATTTTAAAATACATTATAAAAATTGCAGAGTGATAAATATAAGCAAGTCACTGCTGCATCTTTTCCAGAATTGCCATTTGAATTTGAAGAATCTTCTTCACTAATGCCAGTAAAAAGTTCTCCCCAAATCAAACATAAAAATATATTCCCTTTGCTTTCTTCTGGTAATTTATACTTGTATAAAACATGGATGTGGCTCTTGCTGGGAGCAGGAGAATTCAAATTATTTTTGGGACTTTTAAAACCAATAAAACTTGACAACATAGCACTTCACTAAAGTTTTATAAAATTAGCCTTTGTAATGAATGGGCAAACATTTATTTCCACCATTCACTAACTTGCTCACTTCAGTTGAATCAAGATTAACAGTTAATTCAGCATCTCCCTCTTGCTTGATTTTGGCTTTCTTTCTTGAAGTTTAATTTACTTGTAAATTGTTATGTTCTTTTAATGTGTGTTTGTAACGACCAAGAAAAAGGTGGATTTTCCCTTATATGCCTCTAAAGTTCCTGCTTCTTGAAGGAATGTAGAGTTAAAGATTTTAGGTTTTTTACCACATATTTCTATGTGGTAAAACATATACTGATTGGTCAGTATAGGCCAGTGATGGCTAACCATTTTGTCGTCGCATGCTGCAAGTGTGTGTGTGAGCATGCGCACATGTGCCTGCACCCATAATGCAATGTGTGCATGACCCCCGTCCCCCTGCCCATGCGTGTGTGACCCCCCTCAGTGTGGACCCCCTGTGCACGCCCCCCCGTGGGTGCATGCACATCTCCCGTGTGTGCCCCGCTCACACACAGCAGATACCCAACAATCGGCTGGCGGGGGGCATGCACGTGTGCAATGGATCTGTTCTGGGCGACGGCTTGCGTGCCAGCAGAAATGGCTCTGCGTGCCACTTCCAGCACGTGCCATCGGTTAGCCATCATGGGTATAGGCTGTGGGATTTCTATATCTCATGCCCCACAGTTAGCAAAAATGGCATCCCCTACCCAAGTAAACAGTCACAGCCAAAGTGCTACAGAGTACTGTGCTAGAGGTTTCTGGGAAAAGGAGAGAAACTCTTCATAATCCATCTGATGGAATCAGCTCTGGCCATTACAATATTATTTTATGAACATTTCGTCTAGAAGAAGGGTAAGAATCCAGAATTAATTTACAACCACTTAAATGTCATTTTCTACATCTGTTTGGGTTTAGGGTGGAGAAGATGAATAGAGAACGCCTCCGACAAAAAAAAGCACGATCTTCTTTGAAGCAAAGTAGACAAGTGGACTATGACTGAACATCTCTAAATAATGCAAGAACATATTCCTTGGACTCTTTTATTTCCTAGATGGAAAAGAGAAACTACTTGTGTTCTTTACATTAAAATAAAAAAAAACTGTATCATCAAAATTTGCCCTTGAAATAGGAACAAATGTTTAATTACCTCTATAATATTAGTAATGGTGGCAGAAGATACAGGTAGTCCTCGACTTACAACCACAATGGAGCCCAAAATTTCTGTTGCTAAGCAAAACAGTTGTTAAGTGAGTTTTTCCTCATTTTACAACCTTTCTTGCCACAATTGCTAAGTGAATCGCTATACTTGTTAAGAACACGGTTGTTAAGTGAACCTGACTTCCCCATGGACTTAACTTGTCAGGAGGTAGCAAAAGTTGATTACTCAACCCTGAGACACTGCAACTTGTGAGTCAATTGCCAAACACCTGAATTTTGATCATGTGACTGCAATGATCATGTGAAAAACTATCATAAGTCATTTTTTTCAGTGCCATTGCATTGAAAATTCGAATAATCTAAACATTGAATAATGTTTAGATAGCAACCGTAGACCTCTCAGGAACTCTACACCCACCAGAGATATCTGTCTTGTCTCTTCATTGGCAGCAGTTGTCTGTAGCATTTGTGGGTGGTCTCAAGTCGTCTTGTCTGGGAAGGGAGGGAGGAAGTTCAGAAAACCAGCACTTGCTACCTTATACACTTGTTCTACCATGCCTAATTGGAAGAGCTATTCACATATCTATATATCACTAAAACTCTCCCGTTGGTCTGTTTGTAACCTTCAATTGGTGAAACGGCAATCATTTTTGAATCAACATACTTCAAATGGACTAACTTTAAAAAGTTAAAAATACAGGACCCATAACTTCTATGGGATTGAAATTTGGTAAGTTGTGTCTGCTTCAGCATTGCTCCATTGCAGAGGTGTCAAACTCAAGACCTGGTGGCCGCATCCAGCCCAGGTTGCTTAGAACTGGCCCCTGGGGCTGCCTTGGAAATAGCCAAGGACCAGCCCTGGGTGCCTCTGCCAGTGAAAACAGAGCTTGCGAGGGCTGTGCACAGCCTTCCCGAGCTCTGTTTTCACTGGCAGGGGGTTGCAGGAGACTGTCGCAACCAAAAATGGAGCTCAGGAGCCTGTTTTTGCTGGCACCACAGGTGTCCCCCCAACACAAGTGATGTCATGCTGAGCACGTCCACCCCACGAGGTCAAACAAATCTGAGGCCCTCAATGAAATCGAGTTTGACACCCTTGCTCCATTGCCATAGGCAGCTGCAGTCACATGACCAGTGGCGGATTAAGGTTTACTGGTGCCCTAAGCACTGACAAATGTTGGTGCCCGCCTCCTTTGTGCACACTGTACAAACGAAGCCATATTCTCAACTTTGTGGTGCCCCTTTGGGCACGTGCTTAGTCTGCTTAATGGTTAATACACCACTTGCACTTGGCCATCATTTTCAATCTACCTACCAGGTTCCCACAAGGAAAGTCAATGGGGAAGCAGGCAAGGAACCTCACAAGTCGTTCATGTAAGTCGCTCCTGCAGTTCTTTTCCTCCTGAGAAGCACTGTTACAGATATGAGAGCCCAGGGATTTTGTACTTCATAGCACTCCTTGCTTCCCCTCGCTCCATAGTGGCTCCTGCCAGCCCATCCATGTTAAGCAGTCCCTGCCTCTGGTGATCTGCTTGTATTCAGTAGTGCATCTGTGTGTGTTTTCCTTTGCAAGATTACTGTGTTTCTCTGGTTAGGTAAGGAAATATTGCTGAAACTAGGACCCAATAAGGTTCTTCGGTTTCTCCTGATATTTTTTATTAATTAAAATCAATAATACAACTTGGCAAAGATTACATATTTCCTTTCCACAAATGCCCCATAGTAAGGTGAGGATAAATGGGGCAGTTCCTTAATATTTAATTTTTACATACAAATACTGACAAAATACTTTTTTATTTAGAAATTATCTTGAGGGGTCCAAAATATAATTGTAAAATGCAATAAAAGGAGTAAATTTGAATCTCCAGAATCTGCAAACAAAACTGAAATAGAGAAAATTGTAGTTTGACGTATTTCCACAGCAAAACGCAACAAAACATAAGTGAAAATAGCAGCACCCCTCAACAAAAGCCGTCATTTAAAAGTACGCAAAACACATAAATCTTTTGTAAAGATGTACTTGCAAGGGGCATTTATTAAATACGCCTATTTCTATTGTTTGTTAGAAAAAATCATCCATTTCTAGAATAAAAAGAAAGAAGAAAAAAATCATCCAGTGATAAAGCATCTTTGAACTTACACAATTGCCACTAGGTGGGGCTAAAGAGCTCCATTTTTTTCCGATGAAAAATGACTCTGACCCAACAAGCCCGTATTTCATAAAGGCCGGGGAGCTTAGTCAGTTCTGCTACGAAACTGATACGTTCAACCATCTGGAGCAAGTAACTAAATATTGTCAGGGTCAGATTTAAAGCCTGCGGCATGACAACGATGAGATGTTAGGCACGTTTTTCGAGTGTAGCGTCGAAGAACAGCCTTATACGTTAAGTCACAGTCGTGCTAACGTAAAGAAATCAGCAGAAATACTCGTAACAACGGAAGGAAAACTGAGCAATTTAAATGTTCATAGCAAGAGAAAACAGAAATTTTAAACCTGCAACGCCACCCTAAAAAAAAGCAAACCTTCCACCCCAGATGGGACTCGAACCCACAATCCCTGGCTTAGGAGGCCAGTGCCTTATCCATTAGGCCACTGGGGCTTCCGAGAAAAAGCTGCTTACGTTTATACTTAACTCTGTAATATCCGACTCTTCATTCTTCAGTTTTAGGTTAGGTATTTCAATTTCCTGTTTCATTCACACCAAGTGACAATTGGAATCCAGGGTGGGTTTATTTCTTTTATATTATTATCTGAGGTTGTTGTTTTTTTACATTTAAATGTTGCCTGTATAATCTATTATTTGTGGAACAAATAATCCCTGTAATATGGATTCTACAACCCTGAATATGCACTGCAAGGTGGCATTTCTTATTTCAGCAGCTGCATCACAATGCTGGCTTATATATAATTTATATATAACATTCAGATTCTTTTGACAGGTTCTGCTGTGGAAACAGTTCCCAGAGCTTTACATTTAGCTATCAGGTCCAGCCAGCTGACCGGAACAGGAATCAAAATCTGTGTCACCTCTCCCTGAACTGTTTTTACTTAAAAAAAAAAATAGTTTAAAATAAATTTAAAAAAAAACAAGCAAGCAAAAAAACCCTGAAAGAATAGACTCAGTGAACCACTGGATCTTTTTCTGCTGTCAGTTTTCTATGTTTCTATGAATACTTTTTTTAAAAAAGCTGGTCTACCACCCCTCGACATCATCGGCCTTATTAAATTTCTCTTACCTTTAGAAGTTTTTCCCCCAAACATTCAGCTAGAATCTACTTTCTTGAAATTTAAATCCATTGTCTTTCTACTCTTGGAGGAAAAAAAACACAAATTTTAACTTCTCCTGCGTGGTATTTTTTCAGATATTTGAAAAGTGCTATCATATTCAATGCTCATGTATTATCTGACCTGTCAACTGGTTCACTACAGTTACTGCTTAACATTTTACTCCATCCATTGAGCAGGTATGGAATGTTTGCTCTTTCTTTTCTTTTTGAAATATCTGAAGAAGTGAGATTCATTCTTATTATCTTTCACTAACCCTAGCATTTTAAACATCCACTTTGCTGACATCTGTTATAGAGTTGTTGGCTGTACTCTGCTCTCTTTCCATTTCCTGAATATGTCCTTTTTTAAGTCTTTAGTTCTTCATTGTTCTTCATTGGGGGTTGGGGGAGCAGCCATAATGGTTTTGCTGTCCTCCATTTTCCCTCAACAGGAATTGTTTAGAATTATGCTTTCTGTGGTGTTTGGAAAAGACTGAGCTGAAGTCTTCACTCTGGTCCGTGTTTCCAGCGGGAACACAGACCGTTCCTATTGGCTGATGCCGTTTGACAGCTCCCTTTTATAGCCGGCTGTCAAACGGCATCAGCCAATAGAAGTGGTCCGTGTTCCCTCTGGAAACACAGACCAGAGTGAAGACTTCAGCTCAGTCTTTTCCGAACGCCACACTCCTTTCTCCCAGAACAGAGCATGCATAGTCCTTGAGATAACTCGGGCGCTTGCGCAGATCTAAGTCCTGACGAAGCTGCTGCTGGAAGGAACTTTTCTGCTTGCTGGGCAACTTCTGGTACCGACGAAGCTGGCGTCTTGGCTTCAGGCATTTCTGGGCGAGGGACAGATGGCTGTTCAGGTAGGCTTACGTTCCTGTCAGATCCGAGGGAAGTTTCTTTGGGCGCCGGCGGTTTCTCTGTTGCAGGAACTTCTTGAGGGCCATCTGCAGACGCACTCCAACGCCTTCTAAGCTGATCGATATGGCAGCGCCAGATGCGCCCATCTTGCAGTTGGACCCTGTAAGACTTAGGACCAGTTACCGCCACAATTTGCCCAGGCATCCACAAAGGGTGTCCCGCATAGTTCCGGGCATAGACCTGGTCATTCTCAGCGAACTCCCTTGCCTGGCTTTTTGACCCTAGGGGTGTGACTGGGGCATAATGCAGATGGAGTCTGTCTAGGGTGGTCCTCAGATGTCTACCCATGAGGAGTTCAGCCAGAGACCTATTAGTGATGGCACAGGGAGTTGTGTGCTGGGTCAGGAGATACTTAGCGAGCCTAGAGTGCCAATCTATAGGCCCAAACCTTGCCAGGGCCTACTTAACTGATCTGAATGCCCTTTCAGCCAGGCCATTACTGGCAGGATGAAAAGGAGCTGTAAGTGCGTGCCTTATTCCTAGGTTGGCTTGGAAGACCTCAAACTCACAGGAAGTAAACTGGGGGCCGTTATCAGACACGATGGTGTCAGGGAGGCCATGGGTAGCGAATATCCTTGATAGAGCCTTAGTGACAGCTTCTGAAGTTGTGGTGGTCATCAAGGTCAGTTCTATCCATTTAGAAAAAGAATCAACCATCACCAGGAATGTACGCCCATGAACGGGGCCAGCCAGATCAATATGCACCCGGGACCAAGGGGCCACAGAATCTTCCCACCTGCCTGGAGTGGATGTCGGTGGAGCAGGTCTGGTAGCTT